GCATGATTCTTTCACTTGACCAACAGGCAGCGACTAAAGAGGGATGATGTCAAGATGACACGAGTGAGATCGGGTCACTGTGACTGTGACATGTTAGAGAGGAACATTAGAATGTTCTGAATTCATTATCCCATTTGAATGAGCCGCTGACAGTTAAGTGTTTTGACGAGACACAAAGGCTGGATTAAAAAAAAAAAAATTCCTCCCTCATAGAGGAAACTCCATATTCGACGCTGTTCAGCCAATCATGTTTGCAGATGATTATTAGAAAAACACAAAGTCCACATAGGTTCCTTCCTGCTATTTCTCTCTTGCAACTGACACAGGCTGCCACAGGAGGCGCCATTAGGAACGTGGTTGCAACTATTTTTGTTGACAAAGAGTTGAGAGTTCGATTTCCAGAGATCAGTAATAAGGAAATCTGTTTTGTTTTTTGGTGTTTTAAATTTGCTTTATATCAAGTATGTATATATCATATATCAATAATTTATATCAATATTTTACCATAAACTTCTTGTTTGCTTGATGTCAAACTAATTTCCGTTAGCTGCACGCGGTGCGTCTTCATCTCTCTTTGCCCCTCTTCCCAGTGAATGCTCGCGTCCTGTCCTTCATCAGGACGATTCTGTTTTCCAGCTTGAGATTATTGTTTAATTGTTGAAGTGCCAGCAACATTAACAAAGTCTTACTAAACCTCCGATTTGTCCTAGAGAAACATGCAGAAACCCCTAAGGGTGAGCTCTTTTAACTAACTGAGCCCAGGGGATGAATACAAAGAGCGGCTTACACCGGTCTCTCCATCCTGAGGGCAGAGGAGACTTAAACAGCTCTGGTCCTCCTCCGGGGGGTGCTGCTTCACTGAGAGCGTCATGATTAATTTATCTCCACAGGAACAACAAGTCCAAAGGAAAGAAGAAACATCCACACACGCAGAGTCTCAGCACACACTCGCCTTATCGTTACACCTGCCTCACTGATGTTCCTGCAGACCTTAGGGGGTTCTACAACAACGGCTTTGATGAACACGAGTTTATACGGTTTTGTTACACGACAAACTGCTGGTGTCTATGACGAGTCGTAAATGTTTCACCATCGTTTTCCAAGAAATGTTGATGCGTTTGCCAAATTTATAATTGTATTTCTATACAGGGTTTTATTGATGAATACACATTTACACAGAATGTATTAGTCCATGATTTATATGGAGCTGATGACCACTTAGTAAGTAATGCATTAAATGATTCATTGGGTCCCTGAATGGATCACTTGGTTCAGATGTTTCCATTCCATTTTTTTTTCTTTTAGAAAACAGCCTAAATTTAACAGATGCTGTCAGGGTTTGACACTTAATTAACTATTGCCTAATTAAGTGGTGATTAAGTGGTGTTCTCTGTTGCCAGGACTGTGATAGTGTTGTTAGTAAACCCTCACATTGATTGTTGTTGTCTGCACTAAAGTTAACCAGTAGAAAAATGTATGTAAACTAGCTGAAGGTTAGCTGAAATATTAGCCTCGACGCTAGTACGGAGCTAAAAAAAAAAGATCAAGTTAGCTTCATTCGCAACAGGAGAGCCCAGATATAATCAGTAGCTAGACCAAACATCACCTCTGAGTTTGTTAAAGGTTACTTTCTGTGTTATCTTCCATGGCTCCAAAGTTTAAAAGTTCTCATTTAAAAAATACATGTAAATTCCAAGCTAGGTCTCTGTAGCACATGCTACGTGCTACGGGGGCCTAGCTGGACATGTCCCACTCTGGTTTTGTAAAAGTTTATCAATCTCTGTAGCACATGCTACATGCTACGGAGGCCTAGCTGGACATGTCCCAGTAAAAGTTTATCATATAAAATCACTGTCAGGAGATATCCAAGGTCAACTTCAAATGTTTCTGAAGCATTTGCCTCAAACTCCTGCCCAACGGCTCCCTCTTGCAAACACTCGGACGACGACACCTCGGTGGCGTGACATTTTCCGCGCCTTACCTGCAGTCACGTTCCCTGGGCGGCGATGATGAGTGTAACATCTGCGATCAGCGCTTTCTTCACTGTCCTGTGCAGATGCTGTGATTACGCTTCTGTTAAAAAGGCATTAGCTGTTGCTCAGTGATGCGCCGCAAAGTTCCGACACCCACACCCGATGAAATAATGATGTGACACACTGAAATGACTTTTGCCTGTGTTTACTCCTCCACTTTGATAAAGGAAACGCCCAGAGGATCGTTCAACATCATTATCTTGGTAGCTGTTTGTGCTGACCTTGCCGTGTATGAGACAAGCAGGCCAAAGTCACCGCCCGAAATAGCAGCTAGACTAATAACAGAGCGAGCCACTCGGTGCTGAAGGAAATTATGGGCTGTGGGTTTTTTGAGGAGGTGACTGACAAAAGGTTAATGAAGCAGGTGAGATAAGAATCAGATCAAACTCTAATGATGTCCGTGGGGAGCGTGGGCATCGAGGGACGCAGCGATCCCAGAGGCTGCGTTGATCGATCTGTTGTGCTCAGACGTGATTGCGCTGCTGAGAAAGACGGTGGTAATCTGACAGTAATAAGTCACGCTGTGTGGGGATTGATACTGAGTCGATCCTCCCACAATATAAAGGCAGAGGACAGAGATTAGAGCGTTAACTGGTGTTAGATATTTGAATAGATTACCCAGCTCTACAAACACATGCGGAGATCCATATTTTAATCCCAACGTAAATGAAGAAATGCAGCAGCCAGACATTTTTGACTGTTCAAAGTCTTTGGAGGAAATTGGATTCTTATGTTTGGTCATTTGGGGTTGGAGTTTGGACTTGTTTTTTTCTGCTTGCTGATAAATGTCAGCTGCTACAAGTACTGTATCTGACAAGACCTACAGACGACCTCTGTTTGTAACATGTCAACCTTTAAAAAACAAATCAGCGTGATGACGATGGTACGTAGAGAAAATGAGTGGAGACAGCGTCAGAATGATTTTCCATTACTATGGATGTGTGATAACGTTGAAAACATGTCTGATTGTAGTGCTGCAGCTTGAGGTTTACATGAAGCTGGGTTCAGATCTCAGTTTTCACAGTTGGGGAGCTGTTTTTGTTTACATTTTAAAACTATTGTACTTTTAAGAAATGTAGAGAAACTTCATACAGCTGAGGTGACCGTATTTTCAGCCGTGAACCATCAGTTTGTATCCTAACTGCAGTAGGACTGGCGCTCTCTTGGATTTTGTGATTATCCCCGTCTCCACTGCTTTGCATCTTTCTAAATTCATCTCTCTCTCTCAGACCACCGTCCAGACCCTGTAGTGCGATCATTAATTCCTTTTGACACCTTTTCAGCCGCGTTGTCTTACTCAAGTCGACAGATTCAACATTTGCGTCACGTGACGGTTGTCTCAGGCAATCTGATGGAGGGCGTTGGCGGCTGGATTTAATGGAAACAAATGATGAAGAGTTGGAATACTACAGTGGGGGCTGGCCGGGGGGGTGCGAGGGGGGGCAGGAGGGTTGTCAGCAGAGAGTGTGTGATGTATAAAACATTGAAACATTGAAACACACTCTCCACCGTTGTCATCGTCTCCCTCCTCCTTCCTGCTCTTCATCTTTTCCATGTCTCCATTCTCTCAACTCCCAGCAGACCAACTTACTGCGAGAAGTGCTCGGTGAAGTTAAAGAGAGGAGACGGAGGGGGGGGGGAGCGGGAGGACAGAAAATGCTAATTGCTCCCTTCTCGTAGCTTCAAAGATGACGCTGATGTGGAGCAGTTTGGAGCGACTGTCATTCCAGGGGGGGCTGTTCTCACATGAAAGCACATGAAATGAGGATATTACAACAGACATGGTATTACTGCGACCTCAGACTTCAATGAAATAAACAAAGGCTTTTTCACTAATGGTTTGGGTGTTTTTCCTCCTTCATTACACATTTGCCTCAAGGACAATAAAGTATTTTTCACCGACTCATGAATTTTGTCATTTTTAAATGTCATAATAATAATAATAATAATAATCTGTTGTGACAGTAAGTGAAAACTTCAGACTTGAGCGTGATGAAAAATAGTGCCTCATTTAAGCATCATTTTTATTTTACTTTCTGCTGTAAAAAATACATTTTTAATTCGTGCTGTTCAGCTTGGTGCATTACACCGTAGTCCATTCATGTACAAGAGAGAATGTGGAACAAATGCAGCTCCCTGTCCTCACCTGCAGGGGGTGTTATGAATGCAACTCATCGAGGTGAGTTCACGGGTTGTTTATATTAAAGACAAAATTATTCAAAAGAACAGGTTACAGTAAGAAAAACAGTAAAAAATAAATAAATAATTTTTGGACAGAACTTTTTAACTTTTCCATGTATAAACTCCCGAACTTTTGAATTTAATGCAAGACGGCTTCATTAATGCTGAGCATGAATAATTAACACGTCGTTTTTGCTCATTAAATCTTTTGCCAACAGTTTATACTCTGCCTCTCCAGAGATACTATATATATTGCCCCCTGCTGGTTGATTTAGACCATGTTCTTTTGGTGGAGTTGTAAAACCTCCTACTGGTGGTTCGTGTTTATAACAATACCCCAATGTTTACACCTACTACAGCGTGGTTTTTTAAAAGTTCTTTAACATATGTTGTTAAGCTTTATTATAATATTTATCTGAGTTACATTAAAGAAACATTTTTTGTTGTATAAAATGTGTTTACTTGCTTTGTAAAAGTGTTTTTGGAGAAAATGTCTGGGTGTAATGTAATAGTTTTTTTTAAAGGAAACTTTCTGTCTTGTGTTGCAGTGAGTTGGTCTGGGTGTAATGTAATAGTTTTTTTTTAAAGGAAACTTTCTGCCTTAAGTGTTGCAGTGAGTTGTTCCTTATTAAAGGCATAAATACATTTCTGAAACGGTGATACTGTTCTCAGCACACAGGGGGAGCTTTTATTGACCAGAGCGACTAAAACTCCCACTGCTTTTCGTTAACTGGTGTGTATGTCTGTGTATTTGCGGGTGTGTCTGTGTGTGTCTGTGTCTTTCAGATCTATCGGCGCTGTTGGCTGGTGTTTAAAAAGTCATCCAGTAAAGGACCGCGTCGCTTGGAGAAATATCCCGACGAGAAGACCGCCTACGTCAGAGCCAGTCCGAAGGTGAGACACGGAGAGTGTCGTACAATCATACATGTATATTTGATGACACATCCTGTCAGAAAAGTCAGCCCTGAACCTGGTAACTTTATTATCGACTTACTTTTTGATAGATATCAGTAACGTGAGGAGCGTCACACGGCTGCCTCGTGACACCAAGAGACAAGCCGTGGCCATTGTGTTCACGGACGACACGTCACGCACCTTCACGTGTGAATCAGGTAATAAATAGACACACACGTGAATGAATCATGAGTTGCTGGCACCAATACAATCCCCTGATTATTAAAATAGAATAATTAAATGAACTGCAATGCTGCCATCTAGTGACTTTCTCTGTCATATACAGCCGTTTATCCCCAAAACTATCTCACTTCTCACTTCTAGGGCACACATCATTTGACAAAACCCAAGCATAGCATTATCGGGTTTTCATTATCGGAGGAAAAACCGATAACGATTCTTACAGATAATTATACTAATATCGAGCCGATAATATCGATATTATCTGACATCCCTAGAAAATATATTTTTTACATTATAATTGGAGAAAAAACTGCTATATTGGTTTTATAAAGGTTTTTTCAGGTCTAGCTAGCTGTAGAAGCTACATGAATACCTGTTTGTGTTGTCACAATTTAGAGTTAGTGCACAGATCTGGGGAGGCTCTGGAAATGACTGAATGTTCCTTTTTGCTGATGACCAGGAAGTGGTTAAAAAAAGTATGTGAAAAAAAAAAGTTATTTTTTCAGCTGCTGCAACTGTCTGGGAAAAAAAAAAGAAACTTCGAGCGTCAGTGGAACACACCAGTCTGTACCTCCTACGGAGCGTCTGTGTTTGTGACTACAGTGTACACAGGTTCTCTGGGGAGCAGCCGTAATTAATGCGTCCTCTGTGTTATTTACAGTAAAGTATGATGCTGTTTAAAGTTTCATCAGGGGCAGGAATGGGGGGGTAGTCAGTCCAACTCCCCATGCTGCTGCTGTCACTGTCAGCAGGCAGCAACAGCAGGCAGTGAGTCACCAACACTTCAAGGCAGATTATTGGTAGCGACACTGCAGTGAAGTACTGCCAGGATGGGTGTTTCAGTAAAGAGAGAGAGAGAGAGAGAAAAAAAACTGATCCTAGGATTTGAATAAAGTATTTATGTGGTATATTAAAGCACATACAGGAAGTAGTTGGTACTGTTTTCACAGCATCATCTGTGGACTCGTGCCTGAGGTTCATGTGAGGGTCTGTAATGGAGTTTTAAGGGAAGGGAGAAAGAGAGAATATCCAGTTAAATTACTGTAACTGTATGACAAGATGACAGGAGCATTACATCGTCTGTCTCCCTCACTCTCTGTCTCTCCCTCACTCTCTCTGTCTCTCTCCCACTCTCTCTTCCTCTTCAGAGCTGGAGGCAGAAGATTGGTTCAAGACCTTGTCAATCGAGTGTCTGGGGACCAGACTTAATGACATCAGTATGGGGGAGCCCGACCTGCTGGCTGCAGGAGTCCAGTGTGAGCACACAGGTAAAACACACACATTCACACACACATTTGAAATGCAGTTCCTAACGAAGGGCCGGTTGTTACTGTAAGACTGCACAAATGTCACTAGTCCGTAACGTATTAATAAATGTTTTATTTATTTAATTTACAAACATTATACATTTACAGTGTGTACAAAAAAAAAAAATGATCATTTTAATTTATCAGGTCAAGAAACTCGGTAGCATTTGAGGCAATTAAATGCTTTTTTAAAGCTCCCGTGGGCCACACAAAATGACTTGGCGGGCCACTTTTGGTCCACGGGCCTTGAGTTTGACACGTTTGCTAGGTGATGAGGAGTACCCCACAGTGTATAATGATGGTCTTAAATATTTAAGAGGTTTAAGAGAATTTGGTCAAGAGTTTACCCAACCTAACACACACACACACACACACACACACACACACTCTTTTTAGAATCAATTTAAATAAACCCTTTTTCCTCTTTCTTAATCTCACCTGCAGGGAGCGCTGGGCATAATCACTAGTTTATTTCACACCTTACTCACAGCACAGTAGTCAGCACAAAATAAAAATCCAAGGTAGAAAAAAGCTCAGAGCGAAGCTGCGAGACTTTGCACTGCACTGTTCGCTCAGTGTGAGGCAGAGAAATCCAGAAAATTAAACTCACACTCATCACTCATGTCCCGGCCTCAGAGCCAGAGGACGGGTCGTCGTGTGAGCCGAGCAACTGTTTCAGATCCGTGATTGAGGAACAACTCAAGTGTCTGTGCTCACAGACAGGCTCCCCGGCTGCTAATGGTTGTTTGGTGAAACTAAAACCCAGAGCAGATGCCGTGACCAGGTCTGAGGTCCACAGAGCCGTTGGACACGGAGCCTGATGATATTCTACTTCATCTAGAATTACAGAGGCTCTGCAGAGGAATACTTTACTAAAGACTCTATATATATGTGTGTAAGTATATTTGATTGTTTCAGAGGAAAATTGAATTTTTCTAAATTACTTTATTCTAATCCTAAAGACAAACATATCTCAAACACATACACACACATACAGTATATATGTGTAAATATATATGTATAAATATATGTGTATGTATGCATATACTGTATATGTATGTACACACATATATATATATTCAGAGGTTCATTACATATATTCAAGGATTAATTTCCTAAAGAATGCCTATATATATATTCAGAGGTTCATTCCATATATTCAAGGATTCATTTCCTAAAGGATGCCATAATATATATTTATATATATCAACTGTATATATTCATACATATATATATATATATATTTATCTTTAAGTACTTTTGTGGTCACCTGTGGGTACTGCAGGACTGACTCTGAAATGACCAGCTCAGAGAAAGTCAGCAGAACTTTGATGTCCTTAAAGGCCCTTCATTTTTTTTGATCATAAAACACTTCATGACTTAATCTTATTTTAACTTTATATTTCTGCCTCCCTAAATGTTGTTATCTTGTACCTTTTTAATTTTTATTTGACTTTTTTATATTGCTGGTTTTTATCATCTGCCTGTTTAACAGAGTGCTTCAGATGAAATGATGCAGTGAAGTGGGTTTTAATGTGATTTCTGTCCCATGTATAAAACGTCTTATTACCCTGAGAGGGCGACATGACACGGGCTGGTGAGGCAGACGGAAAAGTGAGACGGAGGTTTGATGAATACAGCACTGTATGTCACAACTTTCTACTGAAATCCCACAGTCCCAGACACTGTTGTCTTTAGAAGACCACGAGTCAGTCTTCATTCACCGCTCTGCCTTAGTTTCTCCCTCCAGTTCTGCCTGCAGCTTCGTAACCTGTTGCTCCTTCAGATGATGTAATGGTGGAGCAAACACTTTTTGATTCCTGTTGGGAAAACCTGTGATTTTCACCTTGTTTTTATGAACTCAAATAAAACGGGCACAAATCTGAAGTGAAGTTGGAGCCACCTATGGTAGTAGACAAAAAGAAAAGAAAAGAAATTATATGATTGGTCTAACTGGTGTTCACAAGTTCTGCAAATGCAGCTGAGAAGGTAAAAACTGAATCTTTTAGGACAATAAAATACGCTTTTGTTTCTATCAAGTGTACAAAAGATATGATTTCAAATGCAATGCAACATGAACATGTTTCCTATAACAGGACTCACTGTGTCTTGAACTTTTCAGTTCCCATTTTGTTTGAACAATCACGACTCAGGACAAGGTGACAAAAAGTCTTTCATTTTGTTTCCTGTCTTTTCTTGACTCCCCTAGAGCGTTTCAACGTATTCCTCCTCCCTTGTCCCAACCTGGACATCTACGGAGAGTGTATGATGCAGATCACCCATGAAAACATTTACCTGTGGGACATTCACAACCCTCGCACTAAACTGGTCACGTGGCCGCTCTGCTCTCTGAGGCGCTACGGACGCGATGCTACACGATTTACCTTTGAAGCTGGAAGGTGAGATAATGGTGGTAACCGGCCACCAGGGGGAGCCTTAATTCTTTGCCAGAAAAGAAAAAGCTGCTTTATCTTCCATTAAAACACTCTATAGAAAATGTTATTGAGACGATACGTATGTCTCTTCAGTAAAGATAAAAAAACCAATAGCAACTTGGCTGTGGATAACGTTTTTTGATTTTCCAGTTAAATATATAAATAACTAGGTCTATAAAGGGAAGAAAAGCTGCAAAGAAAACCTTAGTCATCAGCAGCTCATCTGTGTCACACACTCACTCACCCACAGAGGGAGACAAAGCTTTTGTTCCGCTGTAAATGAATCGATTCAATAGATTAGCTGAAACCTGAAGAACTGTGACTGGGTCAATTCAGAGAACACTGGATGTTCGTGCATGTGTTTATGTATGTATGCAGCCGCAGATAGAAATAGCAAGCGCGCCCTCTACTGGTCATGTCTAACTATTCTCACACTAGGTGGATAGGAGAGCAAGTGTATTTAAAACGATACTAAGCTATTGAAACTACTTGTATTATTTGTTAAAATATAACAACCTAACATTTTTTTAAAGTTTGGTATAACTGTGAACTAAACGAACTGACACTACGTTGATAGATACTGTAGTAATGGTAGTGTCCTAAACGAACTGACACTACGTTGATAGACACTGTAGTAATGGCAGTGTTGCTGCTGTTGTTTACATCACCAACAGAGGGCCTACTTCTTAACACTGTAGTGACCACCGCTCTGTGCTGTCGCCTCACTCTGGGCTGCTGTTGTGTGCAGGATGTGTGACAGTGGTGAAGGACTCTACACCTTCCAGACCAGAGAAGGAGAGCAGATCTACCAGAGGGTCCACTCCTCCACACTGGCCATTGCAGAGCAGCACAAGAAAGTCCTGCTGGAGATGGAGAAAAATCACAGAGTCAGTGAGAAAATATTGATCATCTGCGGAAGAGTTTATTTAATCTTCAATAAATTGATATATTTTTCTCTTTTCCTCTCACAGTTGATGTCTAAGAGCTCAGAGTCTGGATCCTACCCCTGCACACCCACAGCCATACTGCCCCGATCAGCTTACTGGCACCACATCACTGGAAACCAGAACAGCATGGACCACGGTTCTGGTAAGCTCCGCACCAGAACAGAGATCCTTAACAACAACAACCACATTATTCCACATTATTAAACCCATCTCAACCTGGAGAATTGAATGTTCCTTGATTGAACTAAATATAAAAAATATTTTAAGGACAGAAAGTCAGAAAGTGTTTTTTTCTTTTATAAACAATGAAAAGAATATATTTGTAAATGTAAACTATACATAACTACATGCACATGTTCACCCTGTGCTGCAGTAACGACTGCGTTTCTTCTTTTGGCCGTAGGATCAGAAGACGACCTTCTCTCCACCTGTCTGCCTCCTGACCGCCATGACACGCTGCCTCTGGCCAACACACACGAACGCTCCCTGCCACATCTACACACCAACTCTCTCGCACATTATTCCACCTACCCTGGACTGTGCCCTGGACTGTGACACACACACACACACACATACAGACACACACACCATTGGTGGACAAGGATGTTAAATTAATCACGTATCCACATGCATGCAGACATTTATATCTTAAACTCAGTCTAGTGTTTATTTCCCAGCTCTGAACGACTGCTCGTCAACAGACCGTCTGTAGTCAAGGAACACAGAAGGAGGAGGAGGAGACAGAGGTGTGTTTTTAACACCGGGGACTCTCCGTGACAGTCCATCCACTGCTGACTGTGTGACGGCGACAGATACCACTCTAAAGCTCTCAGCATGCTTTCAACCACTTGAGCTGTATTGCATGTTGTCCACTACATTTCAGGAAGGACGTGTTTCTACACTTTCTACGGAGTAAATACCACAGCTGTGAGATAGAATTCTGATCACATCACATCGTGACATCTGAAAAAGTACACTCGATTCACCTGGCAGGTAATGTTACAGACACGAGGATGTTTTATTGTTAATGTTTGTCAGCGAGTCACTACAGCTGAGATCATTTACTCAGAGGCGCATGTTTTTGTTTTGTTTTTGGTTTTGGTTTATGAATGAAACCTATTGCAACACCATGAATGCCTTTAAGGGGAGACTGAGGGAAAACGATCACTGTTTACTTGGAGATTTCTTTTTATTCAGTTTATGTATTTAGTTCTCCTGGTGCCCATATAAGGCAATGACCTATGGATTGAACCCCAACTGGTTTGGTCTACAAAATGTCTTGGTAGTTACATTTGGTGTAGGCTTGTCAGGAGTGCGGCCCATAAATTGTCAATGCCTTGAACTCATGTGAAAGAGAGGTGTGCCCTGTCATTGGACCTCAACAAAATTGCTGTGTGGCTACCTACTAAGAGTTAGCCTTTTCTTAGTGGACAGGCCAGTGAACATTCTAGAAAAGCTTAAACTTTAGAAGAGAATCTTGTGTGAAATTCCACTAATTTTCCTACATACAGATACAAAGTTTAAAACACCACAGTCTTCCTTCTTTTTCCCAACCTTCCAAAAAAGTGAGTTCTAAGGAAGTTTTTTTTTCCCAACCTTCCAAAAAAGTGAGTGATGAGGAAGTCTTTTTGTTTTACTCTTGTCTTCATGCAAACACTGACCAAAGCACAAACTACCTTTGTGTGCTTCTTTTTCATACAAACAATGTCACGATTACAAACCAAATGCTTTTCATTTAATTAACACTGAAGAGGTCATAAGGTTAACCTCCATTTCCAAAGGTGAAGTCTTCCTCATAAGATTTTCCATTTGTTGTCGTGAAGTTTTAAGTCAGAGTACAGTTAAAATTGGAATAAATATATAGATACGTTTTAAATCCAATCATAAAAAAAATCCCAGAAAAAACATAATGGACATAACTCTTAAGTTATTAGTCAGAATAAATCGATTTGGAAAAGTACCTGCCAATGCAGTATAATCTACCATAGTACAACACTTGTAAAAAAAAATTTGGAAAAGTACCTGCCAATGCAGTAGAATGTACTGTAGTACAACACCTGTAAAAATACCTGTAATGGCTTCATGAAATTAATTATATTTTATTACTGGGTGTTAGTACCTGTAGTAACAGTGTCATGTGACATTGAAAAGTTCTGTCGATATTGGAACTCACTTCACTTGCTCTTCTGACTCACTAGTGTCTGTGAAGGTGTTGCTGTTTTGTCTTAATGTTTGAAAAATGCCTCGTGTTTATCAGATGGACAGATGCTAGCTCGTTAGCAAATCCAGCTACAATGTCTTTCCGTCTAACTTGTAGTGATCTTTAAAAGATGTTGGGGCTTTTAATGGTTCACTATTCTTAATTTGACACGTCAAAGGGTTCTGTTTGTGTTTTATTTTTGTTTTTTGACATGATGCACATTATGTACCGTGTGTAGGTGTTCTTGTGTAGCTACTGAATTGCTGTGTAACCAGTTTGCTGCCCTCTTGAGAGAGTCTCGTGCACATTGTTATTTATGAAAATAAAATAAAAAATGTGTGTATGTTTGTATGTTAAGCAGAATGAAATGAAGATGTAACATGAAAACGTTGACTGTATGTGACACATCAGTGCAGACATTTATTTTGGAAAATTAAAGTCTGGTTTTACAGCCTTGATATAATGAAATTGACCGGTGCCATGTTGAACAGTGTAGTTTAGATTCAGGCCTGTACTGAACTGTATCTGTTTATAAAATACAAATGTGTTCTGCACACAAGACCATGAACTACACATTAAAAAAATGTTTCCTGGTGTTTTAAAACAAAAAAGTTTAATCTGTGGACTTCCCTTTGAACGGTGATTAACTCTGCAAAGTCGCCCCCTGGTGGTTCGCTGCTGCTATTGGTCAACCTCCTGGGCTTACTTCCAGTACCAGATGATTTTGCCCACTTCCTGTTCACTGTATATTTGTATCCTTTGACTTGTACTAGATTTCTTTTCTATTCTTTTTTTTTAACTTATGATACTGAAGCCGAATCCTACCCACCATCATGACCAGTTTGTCTCCTGCACAGACACCTATTGTAATGTCCTTCAACAGATCCCTGTCACGTTCTGTGTATTTAATGCCTGCTCATTATGCTTTTTGTCATGTGAAGTCATTGTGAATCGAATTGTTACGATGAAGCCAGATTTTGGAGAAACTTGCACAAGAAACTGATGTTTCGTTACGCTAATGCTAATGCTAATAAAATGAAGCCCGGTCAAATGATGTTCAGAACAGTCCTGAAAACATTAGAAAGGGATCACACACCACACAAAATAAAAGTGATATGTTGAAGACTTGTGTATCGAATGGGTCACGGGATGATTTATTTTGCATTGTAAGAGCTAAGGTTTAGTTGAAATATTCTACTTTGCTTGGTTTGTACAAATGACAATAACATTCATATGACGAAAGTACTGATTAAAATATCTTCGAAACACTCCTTCACGTCTGTTTCTTTTGTGGATTGTGTAAAACAGACAAAGCATCCAAACTGAACGAGTGAATATTTAAGAGTCACTGTAGTAGTGGGGACAGTACAAATTGTAATATTGGTGCTGGTGTTACACTGCAGAAAATAAATATTAGGGAAGTAAAATTAGAATTAATTAATCTAGTCAAAAATGTAATATTTGGAATAAAATATTTGTAAATAGAAGAAGTCTAGAATCGGTATAATGTTTTTAAAATGTGGGTAGTAGTACCAGTCCTAATAGTGATTGTAGATAGTTAGTAGTTTGTGTTATGCCACTTATTATCCAGCAGAGGGCATTGTAGGGCATAACGCGGAGGGCAGCAGAAACGCAACAGAAGAAGAAATCTGCTCCAAGAACCGGAAGTGATGTTTCAGACCACCTTTACCTCTGTATAAGAATCTAAGCAGGAGAGACAGAACTACTATGCTTACATAACAAGCACACAGTATTTTACTGATATTTCTGCACACCGCTGAAAACATGGGACGAAAAGTGACTTTGGCGACGTGCTCTTTAAACCAGTGGGCTTTGGACTTTGACGGAAACTTAAATAGAATCCTGAAAAGTAAGTAAACGAACTTTATTTACTCGCTGCGCACTCTTACAGCTTTTAGCTAAGACCACGGTACAAGCAGTAAGTTTTCTTAAAAGTACTGGCAGTACTAGTCGCAGCTATACGTTTACTACTTATATACAGTGCATTCTTACCTATTACATTAATAACCTAAGTAAGCAATGTAAAAGTACGTTTTTTATTTTAAAACATACAGTAGTTTATAGTCAAGTCTTATGCAGAGGACATTCATATTTGTGAGTTTTTACGTGTTTTTATATGTTTAGTATTTAGTTGCATATTATTGACTTCACAGTATGTTAATCGACTGTGAGTAAAGTTGTCGTTTAAGTTGTTTTCTTTTTCTTTTCTTTTTTTAAGAAATTGGCCTGAGGCTGCCATCTAGATTAATAGTTTCTCAAACTATGATATTCATACCACTCAAATAATTATTATTATTTCAATACTATGCTAAGTTGAACATTTTTTAAACAGTTTAAAAAGTTGAGGTTGAGAACCACTGAACTGCTGTTCTCTGTGATATATTCAGTACTGTGTAGTATTTATCAGTGATACTAGTGAGATAGATGGTCTCTGTTAGTGAAGAAATAAAAAGATTGGACTGTGGTTGTGATCTTTGGTCATCATCATTGGTCAGGTTAGTTGTTTTCTTTACGATGTTGATATTGTTGATATTGATATTCATTGATATGTATTTTATGGTAGGAAAAACACAAAAAAGAATATGTAATATATGGCAGATCTCATATATAAAGATAGTGAGTGATTATTATCGTTATGCTGATGACTCCATGACACATTTCTATGTTTGTTTTTATATTTATAATATTTTGTTATAAATTGTTCGATTACCAGAGAAACAAATACAGCGTTAGGTCACAAAAGCTGAGTGATACATCTTTTACTTATCCTACGGGAGAAGCAATGTAAACCTCTATATTTACATTAAAGTAATACAAATTATTTGTTGGTATCACATAAATCTCCAGTTGTTTTTCTCTGCAGGTATTGAGGTTGCAAAGTCGCATGGAGCCAAATACCGACTGGGACCAGAGCTGGAGATATGGTACAATTAAAAAATAAATAAATAAATAAAAAATCTTACTTTCTAAACATGATTTAATCACCTCACATTTTCTTCCAATTTCCTGATATTTTTTAGTGGTTATGGCTGTGCTGACCACTTCTTCGAGTCGGACACGCTGCTGCACAGTTTCCAGGTCCTGCAGCAGCTTCTGGAATCTCCCATCACTCAGGACATTATCTGTGACGTGGGAATGTAGGTATAAGACCTGGCAAAATATTCAGTACTTTTAGAGAAAGTCCAGCTGTATATCATTGGTCCCACTAAGATGTAGTGTAGTACAATTCTTTGTGGAGTCAAACACCTGTGAATGGTCTTTTTTTTTTTCTTTCTCTGAACTTCAGGCCTGTCATGCATCACAACGTTCGCTACAACTGCAGGGTCCTCTTTCTCAACAGGTGAGTCTGTGAGTCAATGTCTTTTTAGCAAAATATTCCTTTTCATGTTAATATGAGGTTGAAGAATACGGTTTGCTGAGACAACCTTAAAAAACACACACGTGATGAAGACATTTGGTTAAAATTGACAAAATTGGAGATGTCATTTTATTCATCTTTCTTTACTTTCTTCCCTCCCTGTAGAAAGATTCTCCTGATCAGACCTAAAATGACAATGGCCAACCACGGGAACTACAGGGAGCTGCGCTGGTTCTCACCCTGGAACCAGCCGAGGTTGGTCACATGAGTACAGTTTTTTTTTTGTTAAGACCAGGCCTCTACATAATACAACATATTTTATAACTCTGACAGGTGCTACATAATACAACATATTTTATAACTCAGGTGGTAGGTATATGGTTGTTTTACATATATTTTTTTAATTAATTAAGGAAGGTGGAGGAATATTTCCTGCCCAGGATGATCCAGGAGGTCACCAGCCAGGTGAAGAAACTTTGAAATAAGTTTGCTTTTAATGCTATTTATTGTAGTTTCTTCTGTTTTGGATGATCTTGTTCCTTCAGTTAGAGGTGTCTGTAAACAAAAAATAAAACCTGTTCTAACAGTTATAGAATAATTCAATTATAACAGTTTTCTTTGGTCTTCATAGTTAAAGTTTAAAAAAATTTTTTTTTAGGAAACCGTCCCATTTGGTGACTGTGTGCTCTCCACCAAGGACACCTGTATTGGGACTGAGATGTGTGAAGAGCTGTGGCAAGCTAGAAGGTAGAGTATCACTGTAGAGCTGGGGTCTGTAGAGTTTAAGACACCTGCTATAAAACATACAGTTTTTTTCTTATTCACACCTGCTATAAAACATACAGTTTTTTCTTTGTTTAGTGTTTGTTCCCTTTGTCCAGACCAAAAAACCTAAACTTAAAAACAACTGCATTGCTTTTCTTTTTTTGCTCAGCCCTCATACTGAAATGGGTCTGGATGGTGTTGAAATCTTTACAAATTCCTCAGCCTCTCACCACGAGCTCTGCAAAGCTGACCAGAGAGTCAACTTGATCAAGTCAGCCACAAGCAAAGTAAAGATTATACTAGTTTGAAAACAGCTATTTTACTGTGGAATCTCGGCTGACAGTCGTCGCCGTGTTGTTCCAGGTCGGTGGGATCTACCTGTACGCCAACCAGAAAGGCTGTGATGGAGACCGTGTCTATTACGACGGCTGTTCCATGGTGGCCGTCAACGGTGACATTGTGGCCCAAGGAGCTCAGTTCTCGCTTGATGATGTGGTACGTGGCTCAGAATTAAGAACAGAAATCAGCCCAGGTCTGGAAGATGACATGTCTGACAAGTCGTCTCATGTTTGTCTTAAAATTGAACTGAAGTCAAGCATCACAACATTCTCTGTGTCAGTTGATGCAGGAAACAATATTATTATCTAAGTGATGTAGAATATGTGTAATATTAGAATAGAAAGCAGTAATTAGAAACTCTTCCTGTTTGTGTGTGTTTGGTGCAGGAGGTGATCACGGCCACATTAGACCTGGAGGATGTTCGCAGCTACAGAGGAGAAGCATGTCAACCTCACCTGGTGAGACAGGTTTTCACTTGGTTAAATATCCTAAGTGAGTTTACGTTAATTGGAGTTATATGTCAATATATCAATGTCATGTGTTCACCTACAGCAGAAAATAATTGCTGAGTCATAAACCAAAACGGTTATGAAAGTTAGCTATAATTAGTTATATTAAAAACAAATAAGAAGCCATAATTTATTTTTTTAACAATGCTAATAAGAGGAACTAAAATAGCTCTGAAAATAAATAATATTCAGAATGTTTAAATAATATTTAAATCATACTCCAACAGGTAATCTGTTATTCTGGTAATCTAAATAAATGTGTCTTGTTGTGAATTTGTAAATACCTAAATAAATGTGTCTTGTTGTGAATTTATTATTCAAGGAAAATATGTAAATATCACTTTCTGGAAAAATTATAATCTCAGTAGAAAAATTATATACATAAAAACATAGGCCTCTTATACATCCTGTCCTCACTTGTCTCCTGCAGGAACTTGAACCCAAACCATGCCACAGGGTCAAAGTTGACTTCTCCCTGTCCACTGACAATGACCTCTGCCTTCCTACACACCAACCATTGGACTGGTGTTTTCACAGTCCAGAGGAAGAGATCAGGTTGTTAAAATCAGATTACAGTCACCACAACTTTATTATGGTCTATGGCCTGTCTGTTAATGACTACTTCTGTGTTTGTCATCCTCTATCAATGCTAATTCTAATTGTAGTTCAAATATTTACCATGTCATCCAGTTTAGGGCCGGCCTGCTGGCTCTGGGATTACCTGAGGAGAAGTGGAATGGTGAGCAAAAAAAATAAGAGATGACAGCTCAATTCTGATTTGAGCTATTAGATAAATATGGAAAAGGAGCTAAAAACCTGTGACGGACTCACATGTGGAATATGTTTGTTTGTGTTTCAGGCTGGTTTTCTGTTGCCCCTGAGTGGAGGCGTCGACAGTTCCTCCACCGCCTGTATTGTCTACTCTATGTGTTCGCTGGTCTGTAAGGCTGTGAAGGATGACAGTGAGTACAGTTTACACACAGTAACACACTGTTGAGGGTTGTTGATTTGATCACAGATATTACACACAGTAACACACTCTGTTGAAGGTTGTTGATTTGATCATAGACACTCTAGCACCCCCTGCTGCTCAGCTGTGTCCACAACAAGAAGTCTGGTTTTTGTGCACCACTACACTCACAGTGTCTGTGATTTTTCTGTGATTAAAGCAACTACATGTTAGTCAAGCTTTTTTTTTTTTTTTTTCAGACAACCAGGTTCTGCAGGACGTCCGCAGAGTGGTTGGCGATGACTCCTACCTTCCCCAAGATCCCAGAGAGCTGTGTGGACGCGTCTTCACTACCTACTACATGGGCAGTAAGAACTCCTCTGAGGAAACCTGCAGCAGGGCCAGAGACCTGGCACAGCAGATAGGGAGGTAGGAAACCTTCATTCTTTTCACACAGTTCTCATGTTGCTCTGTTGTCTCAATTTTTGTGAAATGTCTTCTAATATTTAAAGTTAAGAAAAAAAACTTTCTGTATTCCTGAAACATCCAACTGAAACATTTGTTTAATAGCAAGAGAAATAAAAGAGACTTAACTTTTGTGTTTAAAGTCTCTTACTTTTCAGTGATTTAAATGCTTCAAATTTAAATTTATGGAGTAGCAAACGAATTAGATTAAACATTTAGAAAAAAAAAACAACTAATGCACATTATCGATACATTAATTGCTATTAATTTTTCTATTTGTTTGCAGCAACCACATGAATGCAAACATAGACATGGCAGTGAATGGAATTCTGGGAGTTTTCTCAGCAGTTACCGGAAAGTTACCTCAATTTCGTGCTCACGGGGGAAGTCAGAGAGAAAACCTGGCTCTGCAGAATGTTCAGGTGAGGGAACGAGGAAGACTGTCTTCAGCTGTTGTCGTGACACAGACATGTTACGCTACAGAATCATCAGTTTCACTACCGTGACCTCTGTGTGTGTGTGTGTGTGTGTGTGTTTGTTTCTAACAGGCCCGCGTCAGGATGGTTCTGGCTTATCTGTTTGCCCAACTGAGTCAGTGGGCCAGAGGGAAACCTGGTGGGCTACTGGTGCTAGGCTCTGCCAATGTGGATGAGAGGTATTACCCATGAGTCACTGTGTTTAGGAGGGTAACACTGCAACATTAGTGTTTAATAATAGCAACATGAACAGACAGGAAATGGCTGACATACTGTACAATAGTTCCGCCTTTTGGATGTGAGGCTTGCTTTACTAGTAACTTTACTAGAGAAGGGGCGACACCTACTGGTAAGATAATAAATTTAAAAAATTGAGTTTTTCACTTTTAAATTTTTTTTTCAATATACTTGATAGTGAGTGCCAAAAGGCTAGCATCGGGCCTCGGTCCAACCAACTGAACGCAACACAGTGTGTTGCAGCTGCTTCATGAGATTCCTTTGTTTTTATACCACAGTGTCAAAGCTGGTAATTAAGAAAATGACATTTACGTTGTTTAATAATCTTCCTCTCCCCCAGTTTGACAGGTTACTTCACCAAGTACGACTGCTCCAGTGCTGACATCAACCCAATTGGAGGCATCAGCAAAACTGCCCTAAAACGTTTCCTGCTTTACTGTGTGGAGCACTTTCAGCTCACTGCTCTCAGAGGGTGAGACTGGTTTGGTTGGTTTGCAGTTCTGTTCTGTTCTTTTGTATTTTTTTAATATTGCACCCTGCATCAGCTAAACACAATACGTTGAAATCCAAATCTGCCAAAGTTGGAAAAATTGTTGCTTTTGAAGTTGCCATATTTGAAGTTCTTGCTTGAGTTAAAAGGGAAATGGTTTACATCAAATACATCATGTGTGGACTCTGAAAACAGATATTAGATATTACATATGTTTGACCTTCAGCCGTGACCACATAAACAGGGAAGCCATGCAGTGCATTTAACAGTTAAACATAATTGAGACTTACTTCGTCAGTTGAGTTTCCTCCGATCTTTACAGCCAACTGTAATTAAATGTGATTTGTTTTTTTACGTCAGGATGGATGAATGAATTTAGAGTCACATAATTTCTTGATTGTCTGTGGTTATGGTTCCCCACAGAATCCTGTCGGCTCCACCTACAGCTGAACTGGAGCCACTGACAGACGGACAGGTGTCACAGACTGATGAGGTAAAAAAACAAAGATATTTCTGTTTAAACGTTATACACAGCCTTTAAATGATGGTTGAACTGTTCAGAAAGATCTGATGTTGAGTTATTACTGGTGTAAACCAGAAGTCCACCTTCATTTCCTTCGTTTTCCCCTGTGCTGCAGGCCGACATGGGGATGACCTACTCAGAGTTATCTGTGATTGGCAAACTGAGGAAGATCACCAAGTGTGGACCCTTCAGTATGTTCTGCAAACTCATTTATATGTGGAAGGATTCTCTTTCAACCACACAGGTGAGTGAGCTACAGTATAGCGGTTTGTTCATCTTCTTCCTCTTCCTCGTGAGCTCCATCCTTAACAATACATTTTCCAAAATATTCACTATCTCTCCTCAACGCCATGTCCAAACCATCTTAACTCTATTAGTATTAGTATATTAGTAACGGTATGATTTACTGTCAGCGGTAAAGTGAAGGTCAGAGGTCAAGTGTAATCTTCTTCTGTCTTTGTTGTTTGGAGGAAATCCAAGTGTTTGTACCTTTGGAGTTATTGACACTATGATTAGGTGACAAACACGTCTGTAACTTCCTCAGGTTGCCCAGAAGGTGAAGCACTTCTTCAGGATGTACTCAGTGAATCGTCACAAGATGACCACAGTGACACCTGCCTACCACGCTGAGAGCTACAGTCCTGACGACAACCGCTTCGACCTCAGACCTTTCCTCTATAACACACGCTGGACCTGGCAGTTCAGGTGCATCGACAACCAGGTACATGTGGGTAACGTAGCGTTCACTTTACTGACACTGACAGAGAAAGTAGCAGAGATGGAATTTGATGAACAAGAAAAATGTAAACATGTCAGTGAAAAGACATGGTTTGATGGAAATTTTTGTGCAAAAAAAATAGCATTAGATGATTTGGTAAATCATAATGCCATAAAATATTTAGATTGGTTCATTCTGTGATGCTGGTTCCTGCATTTATATATATTTATATTTTTAAACTGTAATAATTTTTTTTTCACATATTCTCCACACAGCTGTCTCAGATGCAGGAAGAAAACTAAGTGGCGATGTTTTTGACTTGTCCACGGGAAATCCAGAACTGGAACACATCAGTCATTATGTGAGGCATTTATGCTGTGTCTTTTTAAATTCACTACAGTCGGACCAAAGACTTCTAGAAGATCTGGTGTATTTTAATATTATACATCTGATTAATAATATAAAATATCTGTATGTTGCTTTGATTTTATAAATGTTGGATTTATATTGTAAATCTTCTTTGAACCTGTACCTACTGTTGTGTTTTTAACAGTCAGCACCTTACCTCATACAACTTCATTCTCAGGTTCACAAGGACAAGTCTGAAGTCTTTAGTTCTTTTGTTTTTTTTAAAGCATCCATGACTGTTGGCCAGTGGCCAGTGTTTGACACTGATAATCAGAATGAGTGACTGTGTCGAATTAAAGAGCCTGTGTAAACAGATTTCTATTTGAGCTGTTAGATTTATCATTTATTCAGGTTTTATTACATTTATTATGAAGCTCTCACTCCAGGTCTAAAACCTCTGTTGGTTTAATATTCTTCTGCTTAGAAATTTTCTATGAAATATTATTTTTTTGGCAATCCTGTCTGAAATGTGTAACTAATAGAAAGTAACTCATGCTACAAAAACATAGCTATTAATACCTTATGGAATCCACATTTTTTTGTGTATAATTTCACTCTTAAGATTTTAATTTAGCCATATGGACTTTCACTATTTGTCATGTGTTTTGTTTTGATTTTTTTTTTAACTACATGAAGGTTAACAAACCGCAGGGATGCGTTCCAGGACAATTTCCAGACCATCTTCATTCCTTGCCTTGCTGTGATTTCCTCCTTATTTGGGTGGAGTTAGTTAGTGGTAATTTAAAATATATTCAGACTGGAGAGTTATTTTTCAATAGAGCAGTTGTTTTAAATGTCCTGTGAGGCACCCTTAAGTCATGATTTTTATGTGACCCCAACCTGATATTCTTATACTATACTATGGTGACAGCTTCACTGACATTTTCTTAGAACAGCCCCAGTTCATGCTTTTGTTATTGGTGCTACAGACTTAGCAGCAAACACATCCACAAAGGTCAGACACATTTATTATGATTGGTTTGTCCCTGATGTCTTCATATCTGTGGTTACCTAAAGTTTTCTCCCACGGTACAAAAGCCTGCAGATCAGGGACCTTGTGATACTGTCCAGGGGTTTATATCGCCCCCATCTGTTGACTACCGGGATTGAAAATTACGAACTATTCACTTAAACCTCCATGTTAAATACATCTGTGCCTCGTTATCGTGGACTATAACAATATTTCTGGCATTCTCACTGTCAAAAGTTCTGATAAAGTAATACATTTCTAGTGCAATGCCCTGACAACAGGGACTCTACTGTGTGTGTGTATGTGTGTGTGTGTGTTGTAGGTGGAGTTAGTGTGTTTTTAAAGTGACTGTAAAGTGAAACTCGAGGTCAAGGAGGGAGGGGGCAGCAGCAGCAGCAGACTTCCTAAAACACATCTACACACACTTCTGACTCTCTGCTTTACGGCACTTTTCGTCATGTTGTTGTTATACTTTTTTCAACTTCCTCTCCACGCAGTGACCGAACACTGACTGCCGACGCTGTGCGGACCAGTGAAGAGCAAAACGCGGTCATATTTCCTGTATGGAAACGGACAGACTGCTGGGCGGCTCGGTCGACGCAGCCTCCGAGGATTATGGATCCTATTCCGGGTCTGAGCACGCAGGGACCACCGGCAGGCGGCGGAAGTCCCATTCAGTGACCGAGGAGTACTGCACTATAGAGAGGGGCTCAGGTGAGTGGGGAGTACGAAACGAAGGCGGAAAAAAAGACGAAGTGAAAAACCTGATTTAAGAGACAAATAAGGACGAATATTATGGATTCGAATAACAACGGTTGAGAATAAAGTTATAATACTACGAGAAAAAGCACATTTACAAGAATACGGATTATTGCAAGTCAAATACAATCGTAATGTAACGAGAATGTTCTAGAATGAAGTACTAATCTTATAAGAATGTTTTATTAGGTTAAAATATAATGTTACATTTGAACACCGGAAGAAAATACAGCAATTGTACGACCATTAAGTCGTAAGAACTACGGAATAATCTGTACATTTATAAAAATGTAGTAACCTCATGAGAATAAATTACTCAAAAATTCGCAAGAATAAACTTAAAGTTTTAGAAAGTCAAACATTTAGAGGAATGAAGAGCTAATATTATGTGTCCAATATTATGTAATGTATCTTTCCACAATAGCATTACGGTATCATGAGCGTTAGGACATTAAAACGATCGTGCAGGGAACTTCCAGAAGAGTAGCACATATTAAATTATAATTATAACTACTCAAGTATAACTACTCTAGTAGTTCAGATTGAGTAGTTATACTTATTCTTTCCTTTTCTCGTGGTATTTTGACTTTGTTACTCTCAATATTATAATTTAATTTTCATGAAGTTACATCTTAATTCTTCTATTATTTTCAATGTGGCCCTGTTATTTCATTATGTCTAAATCGTTATCTGACTTTTTGTTTACTTCTCATCCTCGCATCCTCCATTTAATTAAAGTAGTAGAAACATGACAGTAAATTTAAAATCTGTTTAGGGGGGAGTCTGAACTGTGCTGTTGAACAGGGCAGAAAATTGAAACAACGTACAGGATGGAAAGTCACGGAATAAGTTGGGATCCAAATTAAAAGGTTAATTTGTGAGACAACTGTGTTCACCCTGGAGGAACCATTGTTCTTACCTACTGTTCAGTCTAACTTTCATATTCAGACTGTACAGTGTAACACCATTTCACAGTTGAACCACTGCAGACGTGAAGCAGGATGAGAATAGAGGAAACGGTTCTGGTCACAGCCTCTCTCTGTTATCGTATTCCTCACTTTGCTGACTGAGGTGTTGTAGCGGCCGTTTTAAATGGTGCTTTGTCACTGACCCCCCTCAAGCCCCCAACCACAAACACCAGAACCACTACTGACACATCCTGCTGTGACACATAAAAAGAGCCCCTGCAAACTGTGTGTGAGTAAATGTGTGAATTTGAGGCTGCAGCTGAGTCACAGTTTCTCTGTCAGTGTTGAGCGGAAAATCCACCGGCCGCGGTCACCTGACAGTTGAATGAAGAGCATCACTAACCTGTAAATGCTGATTGAGACCCATTTAGTTTGGTTAGCAGCTATGTTGTACAGCCTTAGGCTTTGGGAAGCTGTTCCATGTATTTTAGGAAGGTCAATGCAGCTTTATTGATGTAGTGCATCTCAGAGAAAGATCAGTTTTATATCAGACAAGGGATGTTAGAGATGGAGTTGTCATGAGATAGGAGACGAGGAAGACCTCAGAGAAACTTTGTGGATGTTGTGAACGAGGACATGGAGCTAGTTCTTGTCAAATCAGAAGAGGCGGGGATAAGGCTGAGCTTAGTTGTGATGGTCGTTTCTTCCACTTGTGTGCAGGTTTTCCTTGCACTCTGGGCTCCACTAACTGCCCTGAGTGTGTCAGCCTCAGAGCTCTGCTGGGTTTACAGTGACTTTAGTTTATTACTACTATATTCAGACAAAGTGGCAGACCTCATCGCATTGCTCAGCAATTTGGTCGTCCAAAAATAGTATTGGAAAAGATATAGTAATATTTCCCAACTAGGTCAGTATTGCTAACTTAACTATTAGTGGCTGTAATAACTCAGTGGTTCAGAATGAGTGTCAGTAAGTGGCACGCACTGGTGAGATGGTAGAATAGCTCACGTCTAAGACTCCCCAGGCCTTTCCCACGCCACTCCCTCACTCCTCCCACTCTGTGTACAGTTGACTCCTCAAGTAATTACGCACAGTTGAAGGCACAGTTGACTCCTCAAGTAATTACGCACGGTTGAAGGCAGTTCCCCTCCCAGTGTTGGTGAAAATATGAATGTGTAACATCCAAATACAGTGTGTGCTAATCCACTCTTTTTCAAAGACCTATTCTCAGCATGTTTGAGTATGAAAATTGTACCTTTAGCTGCCAGTGTGCCGTCGACCGCCGACACTCTCCCACATTACTCACGTCCCTCAGGCTTCCACAAATGACTCATGTTTGATCCTCGTCTTCAACTGTGTTAACTCTTATGACTGACTTACGCTGGTGTCAAGTCTTTGTTATAAAAGTCAAACACCTTTGTGTTTCCACCCCTTAAAAAAAAACCAAACCAAACTCTGACATCAGCTCCCAGTCCAACCAGTTTCCCAGACAAACACGGCTCAGCCAGTGTTGTTGGTAGACTGTCACAGAGCAGGATGTCTGTGCAGACCTCCACTTGCTGACTGATGGTTACGCTGAAAAATTGGGTAGACGGCGTTAAAGGTCAGTCACTGACGTCATGGTCTTGTTACTCCCCACAGAAGCTAACGAGCTGTACGTCCAACAGGCCGTGGTGTTTATAGAGGACGCCATACAGGTATGTACTGTATTGTTCATTTCTTGAATGTTTTTCTAACATAATGATAAAGTTCTAGCCATAATAACTTATGGCGAGAAGAATTCAGAGCAACTAGTACTAACCTATTATTACTGTTCCACTGTGAGAGATAATTTATTCTTTGTTTTTAAACACCCCCTTAAAAGGTGGTGCTAAAGCAAATTATTAAATAAATTTAAAAAAAATTAGTCCAGTTGATAAATTGTATTGAGTTGTGATGTTTTCCTTTATTCCAACTTTTCTTTTTTTGGAGTTTAACATACGGTGTTTTTGTGTGAATCCAGCTGAGGTGTAACCACTAATTCCCTAGGTGTGTGTTATTTAGTTGTGTTTGCTGATAGCAAAGGGAAGGATCAGGTTATTCTCAGTTAATATATATGTAATATTTACACACTGTCAGCTGTGCTGCTTCCATTTGCAAATCCCAGCCCGAAGACGCAAGACATTTTTAGAACTAATAAACATTTTTAGAGACTAATTTTTTTTTTTAGTCACTACATATGCCAAATATTCCAGTAAGATCTAACAAATATAAATGAGCAAGTTTTCAGCCTTGCTACATTCCTTTCAAGTCATGCTGGATGTTCTTTCCTACAAAAACACAAAAGAGCGCCCCCTTGTTCACAGGCTGAAGTCAGAATTAAACTACTATGTTTTTTAAAATTGTTATTGGAATTCACCTCATGTGATCAAACTGGTTATTATTTCTGTTTTTGTTTCCAAAGTTATAAAGATTTTCTTCTAACTCACAGTACCGGTCCATCAACCACCGCGTTGACGCCAGCTCACTCTGCTTGTATCGATGGTACTACTCACGGATCTGCCAGTGGTAAGTTGGCCCTCGAGCCTAGATTTACCTGACATTTACCTACAGATTATAAAAAGGAACAAGCACTAGTGCAGAAGCAAAAGAGTCTGAAATAGTATCTGTAAAGTCTAAAAAATTGAAGTTTTAAGTAGAAAGTATTTGGAACATTTCTTCTCCACACACCGGTGTTTATTGTTTGTTGTCACGTCGTGTGTAAGCGGATTGGGAGATGATAGACACGAGCTTTCGTTGTGTTTGTCTTGGAGATAATAGAACAAATTTAAGCCAAAGAAACTTTAATTTTTGAACTTTCCAGCCAATGTCATTGAAGTTAATCTCAGCAGCAGGATGAGACTTGTTTTTTTTTCCACCCCAAACCACAAATCCTCTCACCGATCCTGTTTCAGGGGCCTGGGCCTGACCATCGCAGTCTTGCTGCTGCTGGCCTTTGTGGAGCGTCCGTCATCTTTGTCGTCAACCTCAGACCTTCGACATCGTCCTCCACCGTGGGAGCCTCCCTGCGGCCTGACTGAGAGCATTGAGATTCTCTGCCTATTCATCTTCTCTCTTGACCTCATTGTCAAGGTAAATAAACTGATGTGGAACATGTTTGTTTTTTTTGTTGTCACATTGAGTGTTCTATGCTATGTTTTTATTAAGCCTTTTTTTTGTTATTTATTTATTTATTTTGCTTAAGCAATATTTAACCTTTTGGTTTCCTATCCACAGAGTTACTTGATTGGCTGGGATGAATTTAGGAAAAACAAATGGCTTATTGGTTACACCGCAGTTCTGTCGCTTTCCATCATTGACTGGGTGTTGTCTGTCAGCATGGTGTGTGACGAGGTGAGGCTCGGCTGCACAGTGGTAAAATAATAGGGTAAACCCCTCAACCACTGTACCCTGATTATTGATGATTTGATTATTCAGGTTCTGCTTCATTTATAATATTTCCCCTTCCCCACATTGAGATATTCATAGCCTTATTTTTTATTTTTATTTTTCAGAAATTGAGAGTTCGCCGAATCGTCCGGCCTTTTTTTCTCCTGCAAAACTCCTCGCTGATGAAAAAGACACTGAAGTGCATTAAAAGGACTCTGCCAGAGATCGCCAGGTAAGAAGAACTTTTAGAGCCCTATCAAAATTAGTTAATTGCTTAACCTGATACAAAACTCAGATAAAAAATAAACAAACAAAGAAAGCCAGGATCCTTTCTTCATCTTCCTGTGACATCACTTATTCCTTTTATATTTACTCTTTGATCTTTTATGACTCCCACAAATACGAAGTTTCAAACTATGGAATTTGGTTGAGAACCAGTGTTTTAAAATTTCAAATGGTGTGATACGCCAAACAAACAAAACCAATCGTGACCACTCAGAACGTTTAGTAAGAAAATTAAAGTGACTTTTGCAAAAACCATGGAGTCCATTCCAACGTCCAGAGCAGGTACAAATGATTCGATTAGAACCAAAAGTCAGTCTTCACCCAGCACAGGGAAGCACGGCCACCTCTTCCTTGCCAAAGTGATCTTACAGATCTTTGAGAGGACCGGTGCGCTCAAAGGACTGTCCGACGAAGAGGCCACGCTCCATGTCTGCCACCTGGTGACGGAAGTGATGAAGGAACTGATTATCCCGGCTAAAGATGTTCTGCACAAGAACAAAGCCGTTGTGCTGGCTAAAAGAGTGGTTAAAGACCTCGAAGAAAAGTATGACGACAGGCTGACGAATATACTGCTGGAGAAGGACCAAGTGTTGTCTGTCCTCATCCCCTGCCTTCAGAAACACATGAAGGAGACGATGAAGAAAAAAATGAGCAGGAAAGCCTTTCTGGTGGCGCTTTCTGCCGCCATTAATGTCTGCATTATCGGTTTTACTCTCCTCATTGTCTTCCTAATAACTGGCGTCATTTAAAAAAAAAAACAAAGAAAAGTCAGACATTGACCTGCAGGTTCTTGGACAAAATGTTAATGTCATCATGTGACATCAATAGCCAGGTTGGAGAGTCTGACGTGGTCCCTTGCTGCCGTGTCTCTGGTACTTTTCTGGTTCCTGAACCGATCAAGACAGTGTCAGCACAGAAGAAATGTGTTAGTGTTCTCTTTGGGTACAAAGAAACACCTTTTAGTTTTAGGTTGTTTTTTTTTATCTCGATGTTACTACTGTATGTCATCAGTGGTTTTGTAACAAAGCTGTAACAAAAGTAGGAGAAGCAGGTGGCGCTATACAGACTAAAGGAGTTTTTTTTTTTTTTCCAAGAACCTGTTGCTGATCATTAAGGCGTTACTGCTACGATGTAGTTTTTCATTAGCACCAGCTTACTAGGATAAATTAAAGGTTTAGTTTACTTATTGGAACCAGAGTCCTACGAAGAACCACACAGGTACATGTGTATTTTATTTGACTTGAGAGTACATTTTTAAAGAAGGATAAACACTACGAATACTACGAGATAGTTAGGGTTAGAGGTTCGTTCAGTTGTAACACCTTTATCAGTAAACACTGTGGCAGCTCAAAATGTTAACTGTCACTTACCAAAGTAGCCAAGATTACAATAATAATAATAAAAACACACCAAAGAAGCTGTTTTAGCCTCTCAGCTGATTGTGTTGGTTCACCATAGAATTGTGTGGTAGAAGTTCTTAATAATGTTCAGAGAAAAAAAAAGCAGATCCAGGAGTCGTTCTGTCCGTCAACAAGCAACGTGCGCACGCAGCAACAGTTCTTGGTTATGTTCACAATGAAAGAAAAAATAAAACGTTTTCGTGTCTCCAAGTTTGTATGAAATTACAAGTCAGTGAATAAAAAAAGTTCATGTTCAGATATTATGTGGTTTCTTGGTTGTACTGGTTTCCCAAAAAGTAAAAAGAGAGAAAACTTAGTAGCCGTGTGTGAAACCGCACTGACCACAAATTTTAATGTAAAGAATATCAATAGTATTATTGTTTTCATTCCTGAATGACTGACTAATGCATTTTAATATATTTGGAAAAAAAATTAAAATAAATTTAAAAAAAAATACATCAAGGACAAAATTAAATTATCAACATAAATACATCAAGGACAAAATTAAATTATTATCAACAGCTAGTCACAGACCAGATGTGGGTGTTGCATGGGCTGGAAATGGGCCCCCGGGCCGCAAGTTTTAACCCTTTGTTGTGTTGCCTGCAGTGACTTTGTTTTAAAATAGAGTCCAATTAATAATTAATAGAATAAACGGACCTGTTCCCCTGTCCTGTGAATGTGTGTGTATTGACAGTGTCATCCTGCTGTTGGCGCTCCACCTCGCCCTCTTCACCATGATCGGGATGCTGCTTTTTGCTAAAAATGAAGTGAGTTTATTTTGCCGGACCCTGTTGTTTTTTACTCGACTCAACATGATTACTGTTGTCTGTTGATTTGGCTTCATCTACACTAGTTTAATCACAATTAATCAGGATGTGTCCTTATCAATTATGATTAATTATGACAAATCAACATTCCTTAAGAAACCTTTTTCCTGTGTATTGCGGGAACAGAAATAACAGCAGGTCGACGTATGTGTTTCACACCTGTTTTGTTGTTATTAATCCACATGACCTCATTATCAATAACAGTCGACCGCTCTGCCTCTCTCAATCTGCCTCTCTCGCTCTGCCTCTCTCACTTCTGTGTTTCTGCTCAGGACCCAGAGAAGAATGGAGAGTGGGAAGTTTACTTCAGAAACCTGACCACGTCCCTGACCTCCATGCTGGTGCTGCTCACTACGGCCAACAACCCCGATGGTACAAAGTCGGCCATGTTTAGTCTTCAGTGATTTTTTTTTTTTCCCCTCAACCATGAATGTAGTTGATTTGTTGAGACAACACGTTACCATCCTGATCATTTCTTTCACATTTCCACAGTCATGATCCCGGCCTACTCCATAAACAGAGCTTACTCCATTTTCTTTTTCGCCTTCAGTATAATCGGTAAGTCATACTTCGAACCGAACACATTTCACAAATTACATATTTGACCTAAAATTATTTTAGGTAAATGTTTCTTTTGCTCTCAGGTACCTACTGTCTGATGAACCTCCTGACCGCCATCATCTATAACCAGTTCAGGGGATATTTGCTGGTGAGTCACAACACTGCCGTACTTACCCATAAAACGGATAACACTGTAAAAAAAAATTAAAGTGGAACATTTGGATATTTTTTAAACCTCCACGCGACCGTTAAGAAAACATTCAGTCGTTAATGTTTTCGTCCAGATGGCCGTCCAAACCTCCATCATCAGGAGACGACTGGGGATCCGAGCTGCCTTCCAAGTTCTGAGCTGCCAGGGAGCCCAACAGGCTGCTGAGTGAGTGCACACACACACACACACGCACACACACACACACACACCCACCCTAACACACTTACACACACAATTTAAATCCAATTTTGCTTCTTTGCGTTTTCAGGGAGCGTGTGCAGGTTGACACCGTCCTGGATGTGATGTCCAGAGTGAAGATGAAAAGTTACTACAGAACGGCAGTCGTTACGGTCAGAGCTCAAACCAAATCATTGGAGAGACATGGCAGGGATTGCAAGTTTCTAAATCAAGATTTATTTTTTGTAGTTACAGTATATTACAGTGTGAAGATTGCACTGATTTATAATATAATAGGTTAAGTATAGTGTCGTGGAGGGGTTGTAGGTGGAGGACGGGGCTACAATAATACTATTTAAAGAAAAGACAGCAGATCTTTTTTTTTTTGGAATCCTTGATCTAAATGTGCTTGTTGTCATAATGTATGTCCAGGTTCAGAGGTTGAGGTTTTTATTTATTTTTTTATTTTTTTATTTAATGATGTTCCAATACATTTTTATTTTCTCCAATCTATGCTGTTCTGTCAAAGGAACAAACGCCTGACTGAAAATGTTCACTGTCTCAAATCAAACGTCAGGAGGCGCAGCAGTATGCAGAGCTGGGCTACATGGATCTGAGGCAGTTCAGTAAGATCTTTGATGAACTGGATAAGGACCGTATCAAGGAGGTAAATCTGTGTGCTAATTATTTACACTGTTGGAAAAGTGGTGTTGTTAAAAAAAAAAAGAAATGAAACATTTTTTTTGGTGTGATTCTTCAGCATCCTCCTCTGCCACAATATCAGTCTCCACTCCTGCAGAGACTACAGGACATTTTCAGCCACTACTATCTCACTATATTTGGCAACGTGGTGGCACTTGCTAATGTTATTTGCATATGTGTAAGTGTTAAACCACACTCCCCTCCTCCAGACACGAAAACACCCACACACACATACACACACACACACACATGCTTTGTTAGTGCAATGACTTATGGGATTTTTATGGATGTGTAGAAGATTGTCCAGTTTATGAAATAAAGGTTTTTATAACAATTGTGAACGAACTAAAACCTCTCATACTAATGTTTTATTGCTTTATTTAAAAAAAAAACTTTCTCCAATTTTTTTATTTTTATGAATCAAAATATATGAAAATTTCTCAGCCACTCACAGTAATGCGATTGTGCAGCAAAATTAAACAAAAAAACAAAACACAACATAAAAAAGACAAAAATTTGGACTTAATTCCTATGAAATATGTTTTTCCTTCCAGACCATCCTGGTGTTGAATTCTGAGAAGGCTACATCACAAAGAGACAACATCATCTTAGAGGTCCGTAGCTGTGGAACCTGTCCTCACCGCAAATAAAGTTATGTTATCATCTTTTTTATATATAAATGTTTGTTGATGTATTTTCTCTCTTGTTGCTTTATCTTTCAGATTATCAACCTGTGCTTCATCCTTTACTACCTGTTTGAGATGTCTGTGAAGATCTTTGCCTTTGGCTGGAGAGGATACCTCTCCTACAGGAACAACATCTTTGATGGGTTTCTTACACTTCTGCTGCTGGTAACTTCTAGTTACTTCTATTCTGTTTTTTTTTTATCATTGACTTATAAATAAATATACATGTACATGCATATGTATATATGTGAACATACAGTATTTAAATATATATGTATATACATACATAAGAGCTAAACAGAATGTGACTCCTATTCAGTGTTACATTATTACTGTGCTAATTAATCTATATTGATTCAAGAATGTCAGTCTCCAGTAAAAATCAACTCTTTTTTCCCCCACTTTTCCCACCCTAGGTTCTACAGATCACTATTGTTGCCACCTACAGACTAGAATTTACTGAATGGTGAATTTCTTCTTTTTTTTATTATTATTTTACAGACCGTAGACATCTAACCACACTTTTTGAACATTGTATTGTCATTTGGTGTTTGTGTTTTACGACAGGACCTCACCTTTGAGAAATGTCATGTCCCTGTGGGAAATGGTTCGCTTGGTCAACATGCTGATCGTCTTCCGCTTCCTGCGCATCATCCCAAATATCAAGGTACAGAGTTGACCTGAGAAAATGGTAAAAGGTTCTGTGTACAAAACTTGAATTTTATCACTTTGCATTTGATCACTTTGCATTTTACTTAATCACCATTTTTTAACTAATTTGTAAGTTTTTCAGAGTATATATTGTATTTTATTTTCCTAATATACATTTTAATAATTTCAATTTCTTAAAAAGTGCATTTATCTGTGCATTTAACCAGCAGAGATGTTGCTGTTACATTTTGGTCAAAAATGTTTATGCATACAGTATGTATTTTTTAGTCACTGTACATTTTAATTAATACATTGTTGTACATGTTGCTACTTCTTTTTAAACCTTTTTTCTCTTTTTCACATCTAGTTGATGGCCTTAGTTGCCAGCACATTGTTGGACCTAGTGAAAAATCTGCGAGCCTTTGCAGGAATACTAGTGGTCAGTGCTGTCACTGCATTTACTCAATAGTAATAAGTCGTGTTGAAGATGGGCAGAGTCTGAAGTTACTGTTGTCTGTGTGTAGGTTGTGTATTATGTGTTTGCTGTGTTTGGGATCTGGCTTTTCGAAGGCGCGATCAAACCTCCTCCAGAGAGCAGGTACTGTTAGACATTACAGTGATTTGTATTTTTTTTTTTCTTCTTTACTACACTAAAATGAATGGAAGTACAACTCTTGTGTGTGTTCTGTTCTGTTTCTGTGTGTGTTTGCCTGTGTGTTACAGTGTGATCACAAACACCTCTATGGCCAATATCTCCTCTAACGTCAGTGTTCAGTGTGGTTCGTATGAGCAGCTGGAATACTGGCCAAACAACTTTAACGACTTTGCGGTAAGTATTAACTACATTTACTTTTCCTTTTTAATTATCTATAAGGCTTTAAGGAATGATTGCACTTTATGATACATCTTAATTAGTTCCAAACACTGTATTTTACTATTACGTTACCCATGATATAATGAGTCTGAAGCACGAGTAACTGAAATATTTCTATCTCTTCTTACACCCTTTTTGATCTAGACGTCAACCATTTATCACAGTAAAATACTATAAGTTTTCAAAAATAAAAGCTTCTCAAAAACTATCCTTAATTGAGTTTCTTAAAAATGACTAAAAATACACTCATTTGTCTTAAAATACTTAGCTATGTCCATTTCTGTTGTTAAAATTCATAAAAAATATACTTTTTTGGTATGTCAACTTTTCATCACAGTAAAATTCTATACCAATAAATTCC